GACAGAACAGAGACACAACTCTTCTCTCTCTCTCTCTCTCTCTCTCTCTCTCTCTCTCTCTCTCACACACACACACACACACACACACACACACACACACACACACACTCTCCCTCTCTCTCACAGACACATCAAGAGAAGAGAGGGTGATCAAGAGAAGTGAGAGAGGGTGATAGAAGAGTGATAGGGTGATCAAGAGAAGAGAGAGGGCGATCAAGAGGAGAGAGAGGGGCAATCAAGAGAAGAGAGAGAGAGGGCGATCAAGAGGAGAGAGAGAGGGCGATCAAGAGGAGAGAGAGAGGGCGATCAAGAGGAGAGAGAGAGGGCAATCAAGAGAAGAGAGAGAGAGGGCGATCAAGAGGAGAGAGAGAGGGCGATCAAGAGGAGAGAGAGAGGGCGATCAAGAGGAGAGAGAGTGGGCAATCAAGAGGAGAGAGAGAGGGCGATCAAGAGGAGAGAGAGAGTGGGCGATCAAGAGGAGAGAGAGAGGGGCGATCAAGAGGAGAGGGAAGGAGGGCGATCAAGAGGAGAGAGAGAGGGCGATCAAGAGGAGAGAGAGAGGGCGATCAAGAGAAGGGAGAGAGAGGGCGATCAAGAGGAGAGAGAGAGGGCGATCAAGAGAAGAGAGAGAGAGAGCGATCAAGAGGAGAGAGAGAGGGCGAGCAAGAGAAGAGAGAGAGAAGAGAGAGAGGGCGATCAAGAGAAGAGAGAGAGGGCGATCAAGAGAAGAGAGAGAGGGCGATCAAGAGAAGAGAGAGAGGGCGATCAAGAGGAGAGAGAGAGGGCGATCAAGAGGATAGAGAGAGGGCGATCAAGAGAAGAGAGAGAGGGCGAGCAAGAGAAGAGAGAGAGAAGAGAGAGAGGGCGATCAAGAGAAGAGAGAGAGGGCGATAGAAGATTGAGAGGGTGATCAAGAGAAGAGAGAGAGTAATGTAACCTCCTAATGTAATGTATTACTCCTATGAAAATGTTCAAAAAGTGCTCAAACTTCACATGTGTGCTAACAGTCCAGCCGTGAAGACATCTACAGGACAGTTTTGAGATTTCTTCAAATGCCGTTGCCATGGCAACACAATGCTCACCATGAAACACGGTTTTCTCATAACTTCAGTGAAAATGATCGAAATGGCCCAAAACTTCACAGGTTTGGTAACGATGCAGCCATCAACACATCTAAGCGTATTATGGGGTGTCATCAAATGCCGTTGCCATGGCGTCAGATAATTCACCATCAAGTTAGTTCAAAAGTTTGCAGTTCAAATATTCTGCTGCTTTCCCAAGCCTTTTTACTTTCTTTTCTCATCTTAATGCAAATTCATTCACTACTACTTACATCTGATATTTAACTCCTTCAGCCTATTTTCAGCTGCAGAAACCATTCAACTATTACATTATTCAGCTATTTCATTACATCAAGGCTATACATGTTTTTTTAAACCTTTTCTTTTAAATATTAAGATTTTTCTGCATTTTTGTAGCTAAAAGCAGCTACCATTCAGCTAATAACATATTCAGCTTTTTCAGCTAAATTCAGCCACAAATGTTCACAGTTTACAGCATTCGCACGCATTTTCTGCAGGAAATGCATTTTCTAGTTCAATTATTTATTCTTCCCCTTATTTCACCAATACTTTGGCTCTCCATAACTTCAGCTTACTTTCAGCTACAGAAACCATTCAAATATCAAACTATTCAGCCTGTTCAGGAATCGATGGGAAACCTTCAACTTTTAAAAAATATTTTATACTTTTTGAAATATTCAGCTTTTTAAACTCTTTTTTTTAACATTGAAGTCAATGGGAGATGCCTTCAAATCCTCTTTTCCTACACTTTGCGCCAAATGCTTCTCCTTCCACATACTTTCAGCTAGACACTTCATTCCAACTTTCAAATGATCACAACACCTTCAGCTATACAACTTGTTATTCAGATTCTTCATATATTTTACACTTCTTGAGATATTTAACTTAGTTTGGAGCTTGGTAAAGAGGCTTTCTTCAGATTTTAACATTAGTGTGGATGGAGCAGCTCGTTAAGTCTAGAGTGCTTTGATCTCAAAACAGAGTGGAAGAGTGCTTGAAATTCTCCCAAAAAAATGTTTTAAACCTGCCATAATTCCCAAACCCTACACTCCTCAGACATCATTTCTCATGAAAAACGTAGGAAAACCTCTGGTAGGTTGGAAAATAAAAACAAATTAAGAAAAAATATTAAACAAAATGCCTCTTGAGGGCATGAAGTGACAAAAACGTTCAACATGCCTCCATTAACCTGTTAAGCCCTGAGCCTGTTTTTCAGGTCTCAGGCTCGAAAATGACATTCCCAGAACAAATGACCATATCTTCCCTTCTAAAAGGGTTAAATTAATAATCTTTTTTCTCAAAGTAATGATAAACCTGTGAGTTGGATGTAGAAAAGTCAGAATCAATATAGATGTTTTTTATTTTAAAGAAAATTCAGATTGAACATAGTAAAAAACTGTAAATGATCGTGTCCGTCCAAAAATTCTTTTTTACTTATAGTGAAAACCACCCTTGGATGATGGGTTAGTAGACTAAAAGCTTTAGGAATCCAAAGTACAACATATAATAAGTACCCTGTATCAAGATTGATGCAAAACAAGTGACATTTGACCTTTTTAGAGAGATTTAGCAAAAAGAAACCACTTCTGGGGTCATTTGGGTGGATTTTCCATATCTCTGGCCCCCCTTGCTCGATTTTGATGGTTGACGCCTCTTTCTGACCAGTGTTAATTTTGGCAGCTGTTTTTGATTTAGTCTTAGTCTTTAGACTGAAAATGGTTATTAGTTTTAGTCACATTTTAGTCATTTCTATCCTTCATAGTTTTAGTCTAGTTTTAGTCGACGAAAACTCCAAACGTTTTAGTCTAGTTTTAGTCGACGAAAACTCAAAACGTTTTAGTCTACTTTTAGTCGATGAAAAAATACATTTTAGTCAACTTTTAGTCAAAATGTTTTCTCTCTTTAAACCAATTCAGTTAGGCAAATACAGGTTTCTGACATTGGAATCAAGGTGACAGCATCAAGTGTTGAAATTCGTAAAGCAACATTTCACTCTCTTAACACTTTACTTGTGTAATATCTAGGGATGGGTATCGCTAAGGTTTTC